ACGTTTCCCCAAGGGGAAAATCTCCCAAACCATAACCACCACAAAACTAAAACCCCCAGCTTTTTTTTTTTTTTTTTTTTTTTTTTTTTTTTTTTTGGAAAACATTGTTTCAAACTTCAAATATTTCATAAACACTGGTAAAACTCAACAAAAAATTATACAAAAATTATACAAATCAAAAATTATACAAATCAAATTTTGACATCAAATTTTGATGTCAGTTAGCTTTAAGCTTTGGAAATCCTATATTATACAGTTTCACTTTTTCTTTTGTGCCAAAAAGTAACCTGATCAGCCACTGACTTTAATTGATGATGTAAGTAATAACTTCCTCATCGAAATGTCTGATATGCTGATCATAATATGTTTTTTTCTGATGGAATAAATCCTGTTACTTACAGACGTATTTCACAGTAATGACTTGGAGACTGAATCATCTATTGACTCTTTACCTAAATGTATTGGTCCATCTTCTGGGCTTGGAAATTAAGTGCCTTGTTTGTTAACGTACAGACTTTCTGCTTTAGTTTCTCACCGGTGGACGTGCCTCTGCCCTGCAGAGCTCAGTGACGGTTTTGAAGGAATCTTTTGCCGAGCTGTCCAAATAAATTTGTTGGACAGCTCTTTGTTCGTGTTAGAAAGTAGTTCAGGATTTTGGTTGTAAAAGAGTAACAGATTTCTTTCACTCAGGCATGGCAGATTGTTGATTGTCATAAAATATAAGCAATCAGCCTTTGACCCACTGCAGGTCTGCCATGTTGGATCCAGTTTTTGGACTCTAATCTGTGCCTTCATGCCATGCTGGAAGGTTTGATACCGTGAAGTGAATAACTGTACTTTTTCATTTTTTTTTTTTCTTCCTCCCCCCCCCCCCTGCAAAGCCATCCTTATTCCCTAGCAACACATGACACCAATGTCCCAAAACCCTCTTGTGCCTCTGGGATTTGTTATTTTACTGGATGTTTAAATTTGTTGCATTTCTATTCAAAGTATTTTACATCACTTTGGATAGCAAGTTGCAACATTTAGTGCTTCACATTGATCAATATTTTTCCTTGCTTCATTGAACCATCTTAAGTTATGCTAATGTGCTAGCTGTGCTGCTTATGGATGGTAATGTGGACTTTTGAATGAAATGTATGCTAATATTAGAGCACCAGTTTGTTTCAGAGCTGAGGTCAGAAATGCGTACGTTTCTTTACCAGTTTACTCAATTAATTACATTTAGTTAGATGGCACATCCGCTTAATGTTAGGTTGCTAGCTTTTTATTTTGTTTTTTATTTTTATTTAATGCATATTATTAGCATGTTTACTATCCCAGTTTACGATCAGGACATACTTGTTAGCTATCATAAAACAGTCACTGTATTATGCTGCATTTGTATTTTTTTGAAACCATTTAGGTTTTCGTATTGGACATATTTGTTGCCTAAAAAAAAAGATAACATTGTCAATGTTTTGTCAGCTCTGTCAATATGCACCAGCACTTTGACCAGGTTTCTACAGGAATTTGTACTATAGACTTGTTTTTTGGTGTGTTGTACAGTCTTGAATAATATTTCTGCTTGTTACAAAAGTGCTTTTTATCTTTTCTCAGCAGATAGTGCAGCCGATTGTTTTCATGTAGATACTTGTACTTTTTTGGCTTTCAAAATAAAAAATGAAACTAAAATTGATTGTATCCATTGCTGTTGTGGCTGTTGTGGTCCAGTCATCATGATCTATAAAGTCTGTCCTTTAATGCACATTTATCTGTTCTCAGAATTATACTTAATCAGACTTTTGTATGTCCTGCATCCCTGAGTCTTCAAAATGCATCCATGTTTTAACCCT